CTGCCTCTCCATGTGACTGAATATGTCAGTTATTCTGTGTGAGAAAGCAGAAATCTCTAAGTCCTCTTTTGTTTAATTTTTCCTTGCAAGTCACATTTTAGTTTCTGTTGAAATTCCTTTCTTACACTCATTCTCAAAGCATTACTATCAATACCTAGCTTGATTACAGGTATTGATTACTAAAGATTAATAGTCTGGATAGGTGACTTTAATTTGTAGATTGTTTCATGAACAAAACAATAATTTAAATCTTTTCACTTTAATTTGAAAACCACTATCATTCTCTGAAAACCAGTATTCTCCACTATCTTCATCCTGGTCCTACTCTACATTATATCTGACCTTAAATTTATGTATCAATACATCACACACACAATGCCATAACTGATAATTTTAAATTTTATTTTTAATCAATTTATATGTACATGATTAATAACATGTCACATTGGGTCCACACGGATAATCCAGTATTATTGTAATCATCTCAAATTCTGTGACTTGGTCATAAATCTACAGTTTCTTTACTGGTAGTCAATATACTTACAGGTGCAAGGGATTAGGATGTAAACATTTTGGAGATCATTATTTAGGCTACTATACTATAATATAGTGGGATAAGATAGCAATATAGAGAAGGTAATTAATCCCCAGAGTTAGAGATTCTTGAACATCTTTAGAAATGATGTGGTTTACTTCCTAAATGTATATATGAATGACCTGAGGATCAGAGAGCAGTATTATTGTGCTCAAATCACATATATGGAATTAATTAATCTTCTAGATCAGATCTTCTGAGTTTTTTAACACTGAAATTTAGTGTCTATGTACCAGTTTGTCTCAAAGAAGAATGGATCTGTGGATAAATGATTGGTTGATTGATGGAATGAGAGGAAGCTAGAGTGAAAGAGACAGAGAGAAAAAGATGGGTGACAGAAAGATAGATGATCAGTAGGTAGAGATAGCAGGAGGGAGAGCAAGCAAAAGTATGTATATACTCCCACACACATATAAACCTCATTTCCAGTTAAGAAAATGTAGAATTAAAGAGGTTATGTACTTTCCTCATACTGCACATGCATTAAGAGATCAGTGCAAGAATCAAGGTAATGTCCAGCTTTCCTTGTGTCTGTGCATAAGTCACACCACTGTCAGAATGTCTGGAAGAACAGGGAATGAAAGAAAGTGGGGAAATGAGAGTAAGAATAGAGTAAGACTTTTGAGGGTTTCATGGTAATCCTGTGGAGTCTACAGAACTATTGTCTCACATGTTAACCTAGTCATCCCTTCAATAACAATCCAAAACATGAGAAATTGGAGACATTTACCCCCAATTCAATCAAAATATCTATCATAGCTTTTTGCAGTCCTCTTAAGGAAAGCCACATGGACTCTCATAAATTCTACTCTCTGCTGAATAAATATTTTTGAATCCTATGTTTTTCAAATGTTTCAGAAAAAAAAAAGTATTCAAACAACCAGAATGAGTTCATAAGATCACAGAAAGTGTTCATGGAGTCTAGAGGCTTCCCTTGCTCTTGGAAAGATAAGAAAGACAATATTGAATTGTGAGTTTGAGATGTGAAATCCAGCCCTAGAAGTATGTCCAAATAATTTCTGGGAAACTGCCTCTCGGGTACTGGTCAAATGCTCCAAGGTATCTGAGGCTTATTATTACCTCAGAAATGGAGGAAGAATTATTACCAAGGAACTAGGAAGCCTACATCCAAGTCTTGGCATGTACATCAGATGTTTTATGTACTTGGAAGAACTATTTACTTCCACTTCCACCAAGCTCAACTTATCTGTGCTACAGGAATAATAAAATTGCTTTTCAAACTATTTCATAGTAATGTCTGTAAAAAACAAATGAGGGTGGGTCTCTAGTGACTTTGTAAGGGGTTATCATTTCAACATGAATTGCTATGTTAATTATCTTAAGGTGTTTTCCCTGGATCTGGATGCAGATTCATTTCCAGTACTCACTTTGGGGAAAGGCTGGTGTATGCTAAAAAGTATTGGCAGTCACTTGTATGAATGATGACCAAAGGAGCTCTGTGCAGGGTCTCCTCCCTTTAAAATGGTGTCATGTAATGACATGCCTGGTCACCACCTTGGGAGGAGAAGGGTGGTGGGAGGAAGTCTCCAGACTTGGGGGGTCTCACACCGCTTGCATTTTGTTCTCCAGGCAAAGTTCTGCTTTCCACGTCCTGCACGGGGGCACTCTCAGTCCCCAACTCAGTGCTGGACGTTTCCTGCTCTGGAGGGTTCTCTTGGGAACCCCAAGGTGCTTTTGTGGGAAAGCCTCCTCTGTCTCCAACTCGGTCCCCCACGGCACCCAGGACCATCACGCGAGGCTGTACCATCCCATCCGCCTGATGGGGTGGGATAGTCACACCATCTGCTCTTCATTGAAGGCTTCTTCTGATAAAGAGAAACTTTCAGTTTGCTCCTTGAAAATCTTTCCCATCAAACCACTCCCCTGCAACCTCGGCAGGCAGGGGGACATCACCTCTGAGTTTCCTTACCCAAATAGATGTGCATATTGGGTTGCTGGGTTTTGTTCTCTTAAAGATCATCTAGAATCCATGCACATAAATCACACTGTTATCAAAGTCACTAGGAAGGCTTCTTCTGGATCTATAGGCTCGTGGAGATCAAGTTCTGGTACTTCCGGGCCTCCCTGATGGAGCAAGGGGTTAAGACACAACCTATGAAGCTGTCTGCAGCCACTGCAGCAGAGTTCAATCCCCGGCCAGGGAGCTACCCACATGGCTCAGTAGACCTCTCCTGTCTCGCCCGCTGCTCCCCTCAGCAGTATATTTCAGTCAGTCTGCCTGTTCTGTTCCCCACTCTGTCTCTGGTGAATCCTCTCACCCCCCACACCTCTGGCCTGTACCCCAGTTCTTGTATGCATAAATAAGTAAATCTTAAAAAAAAAAAAAGATCTGGTCCTTCCTCCATGGGTTCATCTGGCTTATTGAGGCCACCTGGATCTCCAGCGCCCATTCCACCAGGTCTATCTCTGCGTCCACATCTGCTGGCGCTGCCACATCAACCTGTCTCTTCTCTGCCCCAGTGATGAGGTCCACTCTTGCTCCTGCCCTTCCTGCTGCAAAATCCTTGGGATTCCCGTGCATAATCACCCATGCTACTGGGGTGCTCCTGTTGAAGGAACTTTGCTACCTGCAGAGGCTTCTTGTTGACTATGTTGACATGGAGCCTGGAGGGAGGGTCCATTTTGGGGGGCAGTGAGTGAGTTGTGGGTGGCTGCTGCACATAGCCACTTCATCAACCATAGATATTTTGCTGTCCATAGCTGCTCGCTTTGTAGGTGACCTGCTGAGTGTAACTGCTCTGATCATAACTAGTCAACTGTGAAAAGGAATAGCTGATAGGAGAAGAGAAGGCGGTGTGGCAGCTGGATGCATAGGGACAGGGGATAACAAGTTTCTTGTCCAAATCCTGGGCTGGGCTGGTTGTAAATCCCTGTACTAGATTGAGGCTGACTAATCTTAGCAATTTTGTTAACATCTTGTGGCCTTGCAATGTAACAGCTACTGGATGTTGTCAGTGGTTTGAGTAAACAGGCTGAGTGTCTTAGGCAGATGGAGTTGCAGAGGAAAATGAATGATCGAAACTGTAGCAGAGATGGTATCATAATGGCTGTGCCATACTGCTGGACAGCTGACTGTGAGCCCAGGGACAGGTGGACTATTAAAGTTAGTGGGTAGCTGTCTACATGAAACTGCATAGATGGTACACCCATAGGTGGCAGTAGTCTGAGCCTAGGTGTGGCTGACATCAATGTGCAAGTGTCCCCTACTTTGTTGCCCATATGCTCTTGAATGGGCTGGGAGGTGTAAGCCCCATAGTGCTGCAGGACTGCTGCTTGGCTGTGGGTACTGTAATCTGTGGCTGCCATTTTCTCTCCTTCTTTCTGGTTCTTTCAACGTTCTTCTCCTTCTTGCTTTGCTTTTAGGTGCCAGCAGATATCTTTTCGTTAGTGTTTTTGTTTTCTTTGGATTTACTATGAGAAGCGAAATTGCTGAATTCCCCTCATGCCCCATGCCAGTATTACATTTAAAATTGATGCATCTACATTAATGCATGAGAATCACCCAAATGCCTCAGATTGCCTTTGGGTTCAGCTGAACTTTGTCAGGTGCTATGGCAAGTGAGCAGAGAAAATAAATTCTTTTCAACCAATTTACCTGCAACTGTTATCAGTCCATATGCAAAATAACTAAATGTTAAATGTAAACTGAAAACTTATACCCCCCATAAACCTTTATGCAAATGTATTTAAACATTTGAGATTAACAATTGCCAGAACTGGAAATAACCAGAAGCTCTTTGAAAAATGAATGAAATACACTAGTATAGCACTAAACAGAAGACTATCCAATGATTAAACAGAGTACTCATGACTCATGCAAAAAAATGGATGTCTACAGTGAATTTTAAAATGCAGTAAGCAAGATGTACAGGCTTGGTACTATATGATTCCATTCAAATAACATTGGATGAAAAGCTAGTACGGTGATTTCCAAGGGAATGGTTGTCCATAAGAATTAGGAATGGACTTTCTAAGATGACACAATTATGCTCCTTGGTACTGTGTCATGAACACACAATTCTGTGAAAACCCACAGAACTCTACCTAGCAAAGAGTGAAATTTAATGTGCACAAATTAAAAAGAATTAGGACCACAGATCTCAGGAATGAATATAGAAAATAAAAACATCTTTCCTTGTACTACACATTTATGACATTTCTCTGAGGAAAGCTGGGGAAATGTGAGCTGACCTAAGAGGTATGGGAAGAAAACATTGTGTTAATCAGAAAATGCAAGGCCAAATAGCAAAGAAATTATTTTGAAACTAACACTTCAGTTACTAAATATGTTTCTCAAGGGAATATGATTAACATCTATGGAACCACTTTACTTTTAAACCGGAGTCACATGAATTAATGAAAGGGTATTACACATTGCACAACCTTAAAATCCTGATCCTAAAGATGATTTTACTGCTACAAATAGCTTCATGAAGGCACTCTTGACCTCCTTGTTCCTTAGGCTGTAGACCATGGGGTTCAGCATGGGGATGATGATGGCATAGAACACAGATGCCATTTTGTCTGTGTCCATGGAATGGCTGGAGCTGGGCTGTAAGTACATGAAGATAACAGTCCCATAGAAGATGGAGACGGCAGCAAAGTGGGAGGCACAGGTGGACAGAGCCTTCTGATAGCCTGATGATGAGTGCATCTTTAGGATGGTGGCAAATATGAAAATGTAGGATATCCAGATAACCAGGAGAGCAAAAAAGATATTGAAGCTCACTATATAAACAAGAACGAGTTCACTAACATGTCTATCAGAGCAAGAGAGAACCATGACAGCTGGTATATCACAGAAAAAGTGATGGACCACATTGGAGCCACAGAAAGTGAGGCTGAATGTGTCCCCAACTTGGATGGAGGCATTCATGATACCACAGAGGTAGGAGGCTGTGGCCAGATGTGCACACACTTCTGTGGTCATGGTGGTGGTGTAATGCAAGGGTTTGCACACGGCTGCATAGCGGTCATAGGCCATTGAGGCCAAGAGGAAATTTTCTACAGTGGCAAATACTGCAAAAAAGAACATCTGAGCAGCACAGGCATTGTAGGAGATGACATTTTCTTCTGTAAGAAATCCAGCTATGACTGTAGGAGTGACAGCTGTGGAGTAACCAAAGTCCACCAGAGACAGATTACTGAGGAAGAAGTACATGGGCGTGTGGAGATGAGAGTCCAAGAGGATCAGCACTATCATGCCCAGGTTCCCTACTACAGTGATGAGGTAGATGAGGGTGAAGATTATAAACAGTGGGATCTGTAGCTGTGGGTCATCAGTCAGTCCTAGGAGGATGAACTCCGTCACTTCTGTGTTGTTCTTCATTGCTATTGAGTAACAAAATACATAGAGGATATGAGTGGAAAGGAACAGTGATAAACAAATTTTAAGTTGAAAATTGCGTATATAGTATCACATTTTCACAATAATTTGTATTTTAAGATTGTTCCTATTTAAAAAAATGAATTTACAATATAATTTAGTGCTTTAATTATATACAGATTGGCATATGGTTGAATATAATATCTTCATGTTTCACCTCTCTAATTTTTAAGTTTTATAACTTAAAACTCAATGACTTTTCTTGAATAAATATATCTGACTATTTATTTGTATATTTCTCATCTAACAACAACCTCTCTACATACTGTATATATTTATATGAATATTCTATCAAAAACATTGGATTTGGTTTGTTATTACAATAATAAATCACGATGCTTTAAGAGACCAAATAACTTTACATACTTTAATAAGAATTAATTGGCAACACTGGACTAAAATTAACATTTGAAATCATGCTGAGTAATTTCTAAGTCCAGTGGTCTTAGCTGTATTAAAATCAAATGGAATTTAAGTCAAAATACAGTTATTCATTGTCAACACTACTCCATACTCTGTATTCATGATTTCACAGTGAAGTCACCAAGATATGTGTTTAGTGGATGTGATAGGACACTGGACCAGCAAGTGCATATACAAGTGGAGGGGCAATTCTGAAGAGGAGACATAGCATTTGGGCTTCAGGATGAGGTACACACACCCATTACCCTTTCTACCTGGGAGTCATTGGCTCTACCTAATTTCCTGACTCTTATTTTCCTTCTGCGGGATAAAAACAGTAATGAGATCTACTTTACATAAGACTTGTGACTTAGAAAAAGGAAATCCCTAAAATCAGGGTTAAGCAGTCTGATGAGTATTAGCAGTGATATTACTCTGAGGATGCAATGATGTTACTTTGGAGAAAATGGGAGGCAGCTTGTAGGACTTCAGGTATGGGTAAGATCTGAAATTCCTCTTCAATTTGCCTTTTCTCCCACCCCAGGACCACTGGAATTTTCTGTGATCTCCAGGGTATCTCAGGCTGTTCTTGCTTCCCCAATAGAATGGGGTTGCTCCAGCAATTCCATGTGAGCCAGTCTTTTGCTTAATTTCTTCCTCTAAATCCATATTTACTTTGGATAAAAGGTTACCTTTTGTAAACTCTTTTTTTTTCTTTCATTGCTGTCATGTCATAGCAAGATCACAGAAATAAAGGATTGAACCATCCTTATCTAAGGGCCATCCTTAACTCATAGATCTTTTTTGGTGACAAGCAACATGTTGGTAATTTTTTTTTCATTTGAACCTGTTCTTATGTAAGGACAGTATTATAAATAATTTGTTTGAGTTTGAACTGTGGAAGGGCATACATCCTTGGCTAACTACTAACAAATTTCTCCTAAAGCTTTTGCAGCATCATTCTACAAGTATGTTTAATGTGTTTAATGTGGACATTATGTTTGCCAACCTACCCCACTGACCACTGTTAGCATATCCTATGCTCTCCCTCAGTCAAAGATGGAATTTTCCCTATAAATGTGTTGTGTGAATTGTGTTGTGTTTGTGTGTGTGTTTGCTTTAGGTAGCTGGTATTTTTATACTACTTTAGCATTAGGAAATTAAGGATTTAAGGGGTTATGTGATGTTCCATAAATGCCAGATTCCTCGCTGGGTTTTCTATGTTCACTGAGCACTATTCCCAGTAACCCAGATGTGGGAACAACTTAGTTGCTCACAACTGTCGATTTTATAAAGAATGTATGCTATAGACACATAGTGAAAGAATGCTCAGCTATAAAAAAAAAAAATCACCACTCCCCCCAAAAGGATAGAGCTTGAGAATGTTGTACTAAGAGAAATATCAAAAAAGAAAGGCAAATCGTGTATTATTTCATTTATGTGCAGAATAAAAGAAACAAAACAAATAAACAAGTAAACAAGATGAATACAAACTGAGGTGTTGAAACAAAGGCAGGAAGAACATAAGGGATTCTGGTGATGGTGCACAGGTGAATTTGTGGTGGAAATTCTATGGGGACTACATCTGAGAAAAGAAAGCAAAAATTGTACAAAAATGAACAATGATATAAAATATAAATAAATACATAAATAAGTAATATAAAAATAAAACATTAGACCCTGACAACAACATGGTGGTTCTAGAGGGACAGGAGTTTGAGGTAGGAGGATTGGGTGGAGGGGTTAATTGAAAGGCCAAGGCAAGTTATTAGAATTCTTTGGTGGTTTTGGTATGTAAAATGTATTTGCAGAGGTGTTAAACTGTACTCACCCAGCATACACAGAGTTGTAAACTAATGTTACCTCCATAAAATTTAAGGTTAAAAGTGGATCAAAATTTGTAGTATGTATACACAATGGAATACTACTCAGTGATCAAAAAAGATAAACACATGCCATTTGTGGCAACATGGGTGGAGTGCATTAGGCTAAGTCAAATAAGTCAGAAGTAATAACATTAATATTGGATGGTTTCATTTATACATGGAATATAGAAAAACTGAACAGAAGGTCAAGAATAAGACAGAATTTACAAGCTGACTACAGATCTGAGCAAGACAGAGGAATTGAGAGGGGTTGAGAGAGGGGAGTGAATAGCACAAGTGTCCATAGTGATGGATCACGGGGCTATGGTGGTGGTGGAACTATGGGGACTACATCATGAGGAAAAATCAAATTCTGTATAAAAATCAACAATGATGTAAGAAAATAAATAAATTTAACTACTAAAAAGAAAATCTTAAAAAGCAAAGATTTTACAAGATTTAAGATTCAATAGTTAAATTCACTTCTGAGATCAAAAACCTGTTTCTACCCATTGACCATCAGTATGTGGGGAAGTGATAGAAATAATAAACATGAGATTATAAAGTGAAAATTTGGCCATTATTAATTCATAACAGGACACTTTTGTAGTTTAAGAACACCTCACAATTCTGCTTTTATTTTTTGTATGTTTTATTGTTTCTGTGTTAATTGTATATTTGTATGTATTTTTTGTTAATTTGTGTAGGAAAGCAGGATGGTGTTTCATAGGTAGCAGTAAGCTCCCTTTGATAGATTTTTTGACATTTGTATTCCAGTCTTATCTCATCATTTTATTTTATTTTTTTTAAGATTTATTTATTTATTTATTTATACAAGCACTGGGTACAGTCAGAAGCACAGGAGGGTGAGAGAATTCACCAGAGGCAGAGCAGGGAGCAGAGCAGGCAGAAGGACCGAAGTACACTGCTGAGGGGAGCAGCAGGCTGCAGGAGAGGTCTGCGCTCCATGTGGGACCCTCCTCCAGTGCCCGGGGAGCAGCCGGAGATCGAACCCGCACTGCAGAGGCTGCGGGCAGCTTCGCAACCCAGCGCTCAACCGCTGCACCACCGGGGAGGCCCTTATCTCATCATTTTAAAACTACATTGAAACAATCTATTTCTATTTCAAATTACTTGAAGTGTGGTTGCCCTACAGATTTTTTTCAAGAATAACACTTTTCCCTAAAATAAAATTTATAGAATGTGGATGCTTACCTGGCTGTGGGAGGAGGATGAACAGTCAGTTCAGAAAAGTGAGTCTGAAGTCAGAATAACAGCTGTGCAATAATGCCTAGTGCTAGCAGAGGCCCTGCCTCGCAGGAGTGTTGATCAGGGTTCAAGTTTTCTAGAGTAGGAAAAATAGGGGGAAAATGTCAATGGGGTCAAGCCCCAAACCTACCTTGCATTCTTTCTGTGTCCTTACAGGTGTCACTTCCTTCTTTTTGTTAAATAATAATAATAACAATAATGATAATCTCTTTCTCTAAATCACAGAATTGTGATTAAAAACATCAAATAAGTGAAAGTCTATCACATAATTCTGAGAGATTATCCTTTTAAATCAATTGTTTTAAGGTGCTTTCCCTGACAACATAGAAGAGCCAGAGCAAATTCCCAGGTTGGGGAACACCTCTTTGTGCTACAAGAATCAACATGCAGGTGAATACAGATGATCCTATGGGCTCAACCTGCAATTGGCTCCTCTAAAATGATGCGCTGCACTCTGGCTCTGGTGAATTCTCACCCTCCCGCGCTTCTGACTGTACCCCAGTGCTTGTATAAATAAATAAATCTTAAAAAAATGATGCAATATGGTCATTTTAGGATTCTAAAGCTAACACAGGAGAATAGGGAGAGAATTATACAACCTGGGGCTCTCTGGGGCTTTCCCCGGTGAGAACAGGACAATTTGTCATCCCGTTTTCCCAGGAAAGAAGTAATTAAACCGCCTGTGGGGATGAAGCTGATTATTTTCAGTATAAAAACACATTTTGGTATTATTTTTGTATAGCTTTTTACTTCTTTGTTGTCTATTTATAAGTAATGCCTAATTTATGTACAGTAATTCCACAATTTCAGTGTGTAGTTTGAAGAATTTTGTCCAATTTTTGGTCAAATAATCAGAGTCACAATAATACATTTTTGTCAACTTCTTGTGATAAATCCTTTCTCCCTCCCATTGCCCTTGGCAACCAGTTAACTTTTTCAAATAATTTTGCTTTTGGAAGGATGTAGTAGAATGCATTCTCTTTAAGACTGTATGTAGTCTTGCACTTAGCACTTGAGTTCCATCCTTATTGTTACCTGCGATGAATTGGAAAATGTTCTCTTGCAGGGAATTATTCCATATATGAACATTAGGAAGAATTTCCCACATTCTACAGGCGAGGAACACATTTGTTTGTTCTAGCATTTATTGGCTACAAATAAAATTGGTGTAAATATTTGCATAAAATTTTTTATATGAAACCAGGTTGTTGTTTCATTTGGGTAAATACCTATTAGATTGCTTGGTCACATTGTAAATATATTTCTATTTGGATAAGAGACTGCCAAACTCTTTTCTAAAGTGGCTCTATTATTTTATTTTATTTTATTTTAGAAAGAAAAAGTTTATTAAGGAGAAAATGAACAGAAATAAAGTGGCAGCTCTATTATTTTAAACTCCCACCAGCA